TACATAGAAGATTGAATGTGGGAATTTATTTTTCATATCCAAATATTGGATAGTTTTTATTTTGTAAAATTGCACATACAATTTTTTGTTATCGTCAGAAAATATTTATTTGAAAAAAAACAATTTAACGCCAGCATAATATTTTTTTGATGCAGTTTAAATTTTTTGGAACACAATTCTGTTTTGACAGCTGCACGATCCCGAAAGAAGAAGCGAGTATCTGAAGAGTTTGCCCTGGGAGGTCTTGTTGCCGAGGGAACAGTTGGCGAAGCCAGTACTAGCGGTATTGGCATTTCTAACAGTACATGCCCTATATGCAGTCAAAAAGTCAGTGGAAGCATAGAAGAAATCAACAGCCATGCCGAAGCATGTATTCGTAAGGTAAATTTAAAATACCATGGACAAAATTATCTTGTGCGAAAATGTCTAATCATTTAAATTTTTGTTTCATTCTCTATAGGCCGTCACACTGTGACGACATATGTTTACATATTTGTCAACAAATATGAAAACAAATGTCACTCGCTGATCATCACAGACTAGCGATCTGCTGCGATAACTTTATCCATAAGTTATTTTATTTAACAGAACACATACATGCATATTTAATTACAACCGCAGTAAACAACGCTGTTATTTTGTCTTTGAGTGGAAACAACTGGTTCTTGCCAACCAGATGCTGCACGCATGTACCCACGCAAAGTGTAAACAATTGCAACTGCCTATAGAGGTATTACGCGGTAGTACTGTGAACCGCTTAATTTTTGCTATGATTTTTCGCGATTGGATGATATATATGCAATTGCAATAAAAAAAATGTTGTGAAAGTCGCTGACACAGTGAAATATTTGCTAAAAAAGTTTCCCTTTTTTCACTGACTCACGAAATTCGTGAGAATGTTCTCTTGAAATTAACGTGGTTTACAGTAAATCTTGGTAATTACTTTTTACAATTCAACTGTGTACAATAAAATTAATTTCTGTTATTATTCCAAGGAAAACCAGGAAATGAAATTAGTTTCTAAAATCATGCCTTTGGGTTACGTGCATACCAGTGTTACCTCAATGCTAACGTCTTGTATTGTATCCATAGCAACGACATTCACCTTTCCATGATGATGACAGTTACGCTCTGGATACTTACGAAGAGTACGAATGGGCCGGTCAGAAGAGGATACGTGTAACCACAATGCTGGAAGGCGGCTTTGCAGGTATTCTGACTGTTTTATTCTTTAAATAATGTAATAATTATTACATGTATATTGTGAGATAATTCATTGTCTGCAATGTAAAAGTATCAACCATTTAAATTGGAAAAACAAAAAATCAATATCTTTTGGTGGATGTCAATGTCTGATGATGAGTTTGTCATGTTTGTGCAAACTGGAATAATAATTGATGTTCATGAAAAAAAACACCCTTAATTTTTTTGTTACACCGGGGGCATACATAGATATAAATTACCCCCCTCTCAAGTGGAATACACTGTTAAGTTATTATTTTTTTTCTAGCTTCTGGTTTCCATGTGAACCGAAGAAAAGAAGATGGTGACAGTGATGCAGATCTGAACGTTGACGGTGATGACAATGAAGCCTACGGTACCGTGCAGTACACAGAGAGGGACGTTATACCATGTACGTCAGATGAACCATCAGAAGAGAAAGCGAGACAAGCGCTTAGAGGAGCAATTCTTAAGTATGTACTAAAATAAAATGCTTCCTGTTTCATTAAGTAGGTTCATTATTTTCAACATACTGTCAACACGACAAATCCATTCCCTTTATTTTTAAAAATATTTTTAAATTTCACAATTCAAACTGGAATGAGATTTCCATTGGTTCGATGGATGGACATTGGAAGGTTTTCAAATAACATTGTGTACTGAGCTTGTTGATTAGATTCTACTGCCATTGAAATTTATAAATATGAAGGGAATAGTTTTGTTGTGTTCATAGTATCATCCTAAATTTTTAAACAGTTTTTAACAGAAATACATTATAAATATTTATAATGAATATACAAATAAAAGTGATTTCACAGTGGAGAATCTTTTTCTTCTGTGTTGTTTCCTGCTATTACTCACTGTATTGTACGTGTTTGTTTTTTCAGAGCTTCGGCACCTTCCGATGGTTCACCAGCATCAAGTTGTGACCGAAGTAGATGGGAGAATTTTGGTGAGTTTTCTTTTTATTGTGAGATATAGAACAGAAAATAATTAATTACAATTTTACAGCTCCCAGGCCATCATAATATGGTGACTTTTATGTGATATCCCAGTGAATATGCAAAGTTGTTTACGTTTGAATTGTGAAATGTATATTAAATATTTATAAAGGTGAAGGAAACTGAACAGATTTTGTTGTACAGGTACTGCAAATTACTTTATTTTCGCTTGGAATTATTTTTCGCTGAAGGAATGATTCAGTGAAAATAAAATCCAGCGAATATACCTTTTTCTATATTTTATTTTCATCTCATCACAAATCCGTGAAAATCTTTTCAGCGAAAATTAGTTCCAGCTAAAATAAAGTATTTTACAGTATTATGGAATGTAGAGAATTTACTTAGTACTGGTATGTAATGCATTTTTCACAATCTGTAGTTTGTTGAATAAAAAAACAAACTGCTAGATTTGCTAGGTTCTGTCTACCACCTGGATTCTAATTTTAGTTTTCTTCATGTGGGCAGGCAACCTTTGCAGATCACCCACCCTGCTGGAGAAATTGAAAAGAGATATACCGTGAACAAAAAAGTTGTCAGGCATTTCTTATGTACTTGTCTAGTCACAAAACTGGACATGGTTTCATTACGGATTTAATTTGCGATATATTGCTACTACAGGGATACGATGATTTCTTTTTTTGATCAAATGTCATGGATTATTTTATTTATCTATTCTGATATTTCAAAATTACTATAGCAATAATAAATTTGCGTACATTTTGATGTAAATGATATTCCCAGCATGCTTTGCCTTTCTGATTTGCTTACAAACTATTGAGGGCAGCCTTCACATATAAACTTTGACCTATTCAGGATACAGAATTTTTTCTGCTATTCATGCAACTGTAACTGATGCTTAATTAATGGGTAATTATATTAATTAATTCAGTAATTGCTTGTTCATTTTGAGATTCTGAATTTGCAGTATCTTGCGTAGTACTGATAACAGCATTGTTGATGTATATCTTTTTCAGATCTCTCTAAAGATAAAAAGCGATCAAATGAGCAGAGTGGTGAGAAAGAAAACTCTGAAGAACTCGGGTGAATATATTTATTGACATTCCAAATGTTATTGTCTTTAAACGTTTGTGCTGTTGATGGTGATATCGCAGGTATTAGGAGAGGTCAGTGTCAGAGAAGATAGGTCAAGTACATAATTGACAACTCTTGAACTGAAAAAATTATGAGGTTGAACTTGGTACAGTTGTGGTATGGTTTGTCAGGTCTATATTATTCATCTGACTTATTTCTAGTCAGTGTGCACACCATAAAAAAAGTGGATGCTGATTTGTTGATGAAGTAATGAAACCTGCGAAATTAGTGTGTCATAAAATATTTTAGCAAAAAAAAAAAAATTGACCAATCGTATCGCATCGCTTTTTTTTTTTTGCAAGGTGGGTATAATAATGGGTGCTCGACCCGATGAACAAGTGTGTGTGTGTGTGGGGGGGGGGGGGGTGTGTTTGGGCTGGATAGTAACTAATCTTCTGTCAGTTCATCAATTTTGCTGCTAACCTAAGGAAATTTCTACTAGAATATGATGGCTATGTGAAGCTGCAGCATTCTGGTGGTGCATATGATTGACACTAAGGGTGGTCCAATAGCCAAGGACAATTAAAATTGCCATTTATCACAATAGTAACTCAAACTAAATATATAGCCAACGTCAATTTTGGACAAGTTGTGATTAAAACTTATAAAGCCGTGAAAATGGTAAAAAAAAGTTGGATTTATGTGAAATAAAACTGGTTGATTTAGATATATTTAATAGTAACTATATTTAATTTTCCTAAATTCATATTTGTTTCAGTTTTTGATGCAACATTACCATCTCATTATTTTCTGGAGATTATGTTTAATAGCAATTCATAAAAAAAAAAACCTCCTGATAAAGATCAACTAATTATAAGTAACTTTTTAATAAAGTCCCTTGTGTGGTCCCAGCACACAGGTTTGACTGTAAATTAAATGTATTTTAAACTTATTTCAAACTAACGGTCGTGTATTAATAGATCAGAAATTAATGTCTAAATTATTTTACAGAGAGTCGTGTTTTGAAATATTGCAATAATTGTAGGACATTAATGCAGTGATAGCTCTTCATCTACCATTAATTTTGTCTTTATCTTTTTATCTTTTATTTATTTTCAGTCATGATATGTCTCCTGATGACATGATAGCTGTACTTAAAGGTAGAATAAAAGAATTGGAAAAACAGTCAACAAAAAGCAGCGATAAACACAAGTGTTTGATCTGTATGGTGAGTTTGCCCTAGATATATTAACAGTGAATCAATGCAGTGATCTAGATAAAAGCCTGTACCCAGTCACAACTCCCATCTATGCACTTATTGTTATTGGCTACAGATGTGTTTATATCTTGTCAGTATCATTTACAATAAATCAGCTTGTAACCTACTATTGTGTAGCGTCAATGGGAATAATTAGCATCGCAATGTGTGCGACACTCTCTTCACTTGTATTATTATCTTAATCTCCAATTTACGCTGAAATTTTATTAGTAGAACGGTTGATTAATAATCTGTAATCCCTTGCGATTAATGCTGTTTTTTTAATCCGGTGTTTCCATTCCACGACAGGAATCGTACCATACGCCAGTAGTGTCAGTACAGTGTTGGCACGTGCATTGTGAAGAATGCTGGTTACGAACACTGGTAAGTCATCAACGTTGATTGTATGAAGTCTAAACCCTACGGCGTTAGTGTCAGTGACATTTGAACAAAATCTAATGACAAAGTAACAAATGTTACGAAAGAGATGTAATAATATTTATTCTACGTCCATAGAATGAATTTGCATATCATGTTGCAATCATTATTTCTTTCGATTGTAAACTAATTTTCACAAGTTGTTGTTCAATGTTTATATCTGTCCTGGTATTTCATTGATGCAATATAAAATTGTTTTTGAATTATCAGTATCAGTTTTGCTTCATTCAAACGAGCATCTCAAATAGAAGTGCCTGGAAACTTTTTTTTTTTGCCATAGAAAAACCGGCATTCATTTGCATAAATGCATATGCTGCTAAGTTTCTCTAAATTGTATGGTGTTCCTATAATATCCAGTCTAACTGTTTTTACAATATTGGATAGTCGTATGAAATTTCTAATTGTGTATTCAACTTTCTGCATAGGTGTTCAAAAGTGTTGACTAAAAAATTAGAACATGGCCAAACCAGAAGCCGAAATGATCATCAACGCAATTTGAACAGTTATTCCATGTTTCACGCAATTACCGATCAATAACTATTTCTAGTTTTTGTCCCAAGACACCGATGGAGCTTTAGTGAATACATTGTTTTTGTTTTTCCCGACAGGGTGCAAAAAAGCTGTGCCCACAATGCAATATGATAACATCACCAAGTGATTTAAGGAAAATATACCTATAAGATAATTCCAAGACGACATCGAATTTGAAAATCTGCAACTTTGCTTGGAATCTCCATGGTAACACGTGTCGCGTGATGAATGGGAAAAAAGATCCGTTGTAAGGAAGATTTTGACACGAGTAAGAATGGCTGTTCTGCTCTCATTCTATACTCCCTGATTGAAACAAGATGTTGTACAGATAAGTGTAGTTGACAATACAACTAATCAAGGGAGTTGTGTTTTAACTTGTGAAAGCCACCCACTTACTTGTATGAATACAGTATGAACAGGCTTGCTCTGTGTATCATTTTAAAATACCCAGAAATATACAAACTCTATTGAAAAAAAAAAAAAAAAATTACTTTTTTGACAAGATGTGTATAACGTTCCTATTTATATAGACTATTTTATCACTTTGAAATGCAGTGTGTATTATTTTCCAATGCTCTTTGTACATAAGTTATTCCTGTACTTGCACAATATTGGTGTGTGCAGTATTTCTGCAGTTATTTTTCATCCAAGTTTTTCTGCTGTATGTTTGATAATTGAGTTCGACTCAAATTAGTGTTTATTAGCTGAAATTTAAAAGATAAAAAAAAAGCAAAGACGCTTATATGAGGGGGAATGGAGGAGGGGGAGGTGGATGCATTGGTGGGGTGGAGAGAGGTTTATTTTAATAGTTTTAATAACATTGTACATGTCTGTTCAGAGTGGTGTTTTTACATGTGCTCTCTCAGTCTTGATGCTGAATTTGCAAGGCCCTGACTTTGCATACTTTCCTGCCTCTGTGGTAGTACTGTCCCCATATACATTGCAGTTGTCCTCACAAGACTGTTAATGACTCGGGTTGTTGTTCAATCTAAATGAGTTGGCTTTACATGCGTGCATGATTGAACAATCACCAATGATTTTTTAGCAAATGCATCGTTACTTTTAAGATTAAGAGAAGCTGATTAGTTTATGAAATGTGGCAGTCCTGAACTCTCATCTTGTTCTTGTATACTTGTATTATAATTGACTTTTGTCTTTATTTTCTAAGGCTGACAGGGTTGGTTCTAAAAATGTATGTGCTTAGTTGGTGTCATTAAATTTTTTAGCATTTCAATATTGTGTGTAACACTTATAAATTTCAATTCAAGTCACATTGACTGAATGTGCTCTTGTCCAGTAATATCTTGCTTCTTAGTAATAAGGCTGTGTTGGAAACTGGCACACGGTTTATAAAGCACCATAGCCCTGTCTCTGGTGTGCGTTAATGACAATTGACCTTCTTTTTGTGGGATATCATTTCTTGAACAAGTATGGTTAGTTTTTCGTCCTGCATGGATACTTTGATACGGCTGCTTTAAGTTGAATAATGGCAACTTAGAAATAAAAAAAAAAGATCGGTGATCAGAGTTTCAGTATCATTCATAGCTAGTTAAATTGCTGGCTGCATTTCATACACTCTTTGGCAACTGCAAACCATTGCTGACTATTTTTTTTTGAAGTGAAAACATTACAAAGACAGATTTGTAAACTAATTAATTTCTTTAATGAATATCATCTTCATGTACTTGTAAACCTTGTTGTTAAAATAATTTTTTCACCAATAACATATTGAATGTTTATATTTCTCTGAGAATGATATATATTTTATATAGCTTCTGGAGTATAAATTATGTTTAAGATATTCTGAAGTAGATAGATGCTCTGGTTGTTTTTGATGTACAATGCTTGTACATTACCTTTAAACTACGTCTGACCAATTACCTATTCAGGGCCAATCAGATGTTGTGTTACATTCTATTAAGATTGTAGTAATTCTAAGTAATTGGTCAAGAGCTGGGTGCAACCAGATTTATGGAGGTATTAGTTCAAATTTAGTTTGATGAGACCCAGGCCTACCTACATCCAGTTTTTAAGGGTGCAGTGACTTGTAGTTTGATGATATTGATTGTAGATATTCTAGGAGATGAGAGATGCATGTTAATTTCATGATAGTAGACTCCAAGAACATTTTAAGCAACTGTAAATCATTTAGTTAGGAATTTCCTCGCTTTCACATTGTAAAGAGCTTGTGAAATTTGGTATGTGATGCCACGTTGAGTGTAATGATTTTATCATTTGATATACGCATCATTAGTGAGACTTGTATTCATATAGTTTATAATATATTCATACATCACCTTGACCCTCCCTCCCTCCCTCCCTCCCTCCCTTCCTCCCTCTTAAAACAATTTCTTCATGCTATAATGTAATTATAATTTTCTAGAATGCAATACACTTTTATTATGAATTTTAGAATATCTTTCTCAACAGTTGTATATACCTACTTGATCAATTTTCTTCTATTATGGAATAAAAAGATTATGTTAAATATTCATGAATGAATCGTTGATCCTGTCGTGTTGCTAGATGTTTGAATATTTCATTCCAACTACAGCCTAAAGGACGGCAGTCGTCGTGCCGCGTCCTGTTCGATATGGAACTCATAGCGACGTATGCAACAAGTGTAAAATTGTTTATTTATATGAAATTCAAACATGCGCTGGAAACTTTACTGATTTGACGTATACAAATGGGTATGTAAAAAAAAAATTTAGTCAAAAATATGACACCTCTCGGAATTAAACCATCCATACTTTTTGTAGAAATATGACCCCTGGGATTTAAACCATCCGTAGGGGGCGGAGGTGGACAAAAACTGGAATGACCCTTCGGCTTACATGGAGTAGTACAGTTCTTTCTCAGAATTACAATCACACAGTCTGTGAGATAAATATATATTTTTCACTGTCACAACATTCAAGCTTAATCGCTGAAAATATCAAACAGAAGACGGATTTACCATTTATTTACCTTTTTAATATTACAATCACAGTCCGAGAATAAGATGACACACAGTCCCTCTACGTGGGGGACCAAACAGCTCATTGTTGTCGAATAAGTGTGCTTGCGCCCTCTACGGCACCGGAGGCTGTCAGAGAGAGAGCAATTCACGTGTCTGAAAATATTTGGATACTCATAAACTACTTTATTTTAGCTCGTATTTATTTTCGCTGCAATAACATTTCGGTTGTTCTGTATGTTTTTTCCCTTGATTGTGGGTGAGTTGAATGTAAAATTTCCTCTAGCGAAAATAGATAAAACAATTCCAAGTGAAGATAAAGTAATTTACAGTACGTGTCGTTACTGGTTGGCTGTCTGCATGACTTTAGTACATTACTATGGAAACACGCATGCGCAGATTGGCATGTAGTTAAGACTCGCTCAAAATACTTCAGACTGCTTCATTAGTCTTATTTATTCGTGGATTTGTTAAAGTCTCACGATCATAGACGACACACAGTGTACATAGCAAGCAATGTGATATGAAATAAACTGTAGAATTATCATGAACATGTATTAGATCAGCTTCCGGAAAAGTACGTGTGGGAACACTGAAAATAACGATAACAGACACAAATATCAAATTCGTATGTAATGATACAAATTGTACTCTGCAGACATCAAATTCACGTGATGAATTGTCACATTACTCTTCAACAATAAATGTATAAAACACTGCCACCACCGACAAGTCGAATCACGCCTTCATACAAAACAGGAAATGTTCATAAAATTGAATATATACTAGCATTAAAGCGGGAAGTCGTCACCTGCGCATGCGTCAGATGGCCATAGCGTGTTATTGTTTACAACAAGCGTCTAGTCCCACGAGGACTCAATTCCAGCGCGTGCGCAGGTGACGACCCTCCCGCTTTAAACTATGGTCTGATTGGCAGCGGTGCTTCAGCATGATAAACACATCTGGTGTATTATACATAACTACATTGAGCAAGTGGAGACAGATTTATTAAGCGGGGGAGTCGTCACCTTTGCACGCGGTGGCAGACGTGTCACATTTCATAAATAAACATCTAGCCACGTGCCTTGTCGTCGCTTAGGACCCATTTCCCGCGCTTGCGCAGACGACTACTCCCCTGCTTCAATTTTTCGGGATGAAATGAAGACACACATTTGTTCGACTTATTTGTTCTAATTAGAACATTAGAACAGCGCCAGCAACGAAGCCAACTTTTCTGTCGACTGATGGTGATAAGCCGCATGTATATGTTCCAAGTTGAGAAGTTCTGAGAAAGGAATTGTTGAAAGAGCGTCATTTCTAATATTCATGCTGAAGTTTCACTCTAAGTATTGACACAACACGGACGATCACGAACTATTTTCTCTAAAGTTGTACAGTGAACAATAAAAACGATCTACCAATGCCATCTTCCTGAAATTCAAAACAGATAATGGCGATAATTATAACATGATATATATTTTTTGTCAGCAACGTTGTGTACATTTCCGGCAAGTTACGCCCTCTAGAGGCAAAGCAAAGCGAGTAAACAAAACGAAGTACATGTACGTTAAGACCACAAGTGGTATGATGCACTATTATATTATTTTACTCACCATGGC